AAATCAACTGTAAGAAACGAAATAATAAATAATTTATAAGATCATTATCGGTCATTACAAGCAATGATTAATTTACATATACATTTAATATTAAAGAAATAAGTTATATATATTAAATTAATAATATATATATATTAAATTAATAAAGTTATATATATTAAATTAATAATTTTAGAACAAAATATATGTCTAAAATATATTATTGTAAAATATGACAATATCACATTATTTTCTACGTTGGTATTACCGTTTATCAAGCTTCAAGTATAGAAAGTGTTTCGAGTAATATAATGTGCTTTGAATCTCGTGAATATTCTAAAATGTCGAAAAATAATAAATATCGATCGTTGAAAAGGAAAATGAGTATTACATGAAAATAACTAATTGCGTCGCCAAAAATTAAAAAATATTGACAATAACCTCTTCTATTCAAATGACAGATGTCACAAATGTTTACTGTGAATGTGTCAAGTCGCATAAATGAAATGGCTTATGTAGCGTAATATTCGTATTTTGCTGCAGTTTTATTTAAATAACTTTTGAACAAATAAGTGGATCCAGATTAACTTTTGCACAAATATTTATTAGAGTCATATTAGTATATATACAAAATTTGATTTAATTCTTAATGCTACTTTCTTGTCAAATTTGCAAATAAGTACTCCAAGACGCGATTTTATATAAGAATCAAGAATAAATAAAAAATTAAATAACTTTTAAACCAATAAGAGAATCGTGCTCAAATTTTGCACAGTTGTTCAGATGTATTAATAGAACAATTTGTAAAATTTTTATATTTTTCGTAATGTTTTGAGATACATCACATACATCCTTAATACAATTTTGTTTTTTAATGAAAAAAGAGCGTGTATTGTCAGTTTTTTTCGTATGCATTTGTCATTATCATTGGCTAACTACAAACCAGCCACATAATTGAAAGTGCAATAATTTATGTTCAATCGATGCTTTCAGATTGAAGAAGAAGAAGGGTTCCTTCTTCCAGTCGATAACGTCTTTGCAGAAAAATAGCGCTAAGGTATATGATCCCTTATCATAAAAATTAATCAATTATTGCAGACATTTGAGACGTAAAAGCATCGCGCGAGATGTGTTCAGATTTCATAATTTTTGGGGGGCTTTATATCAATGTAATATAGAATTTATATAAATATAATGTAGAACGTTATATAGAATTTGTTAAATACTTTTTGGATACTTCGATTACTTCAACATGGAAAAATAAAAAAGAAAATATATAAATAGGATTCATTAGTTTTCTTTTTTACTTTTTAAAAAAATTTAAATTACTATAATTACTGTAATATATTTGTATGTTCATGTTAAAATGTGCTTGTTAAATGTTTATACATTTAACTATAAATGTTAGTTTGGTAAATATATAGCATATTTTTTAATTAAACTAATTTAATGAAAGAAATCAATTTTACGTGTATTTAATGTCACAACGAGGATCGAGCCTTATTTAATCTCATTTGCAATTGTCAGGTGAGTTCCAAGCGAGATGCTTTGGAGGAAAAATCAACTGGTGCTCGCAATGATTATCTATTAGCCCTCGCCGCCGCCAATGCCCATCAGAACCGATATTTTGTAGTCGATTTACAGTCCACCATGCAGGTAAGTCTTACAATAGTAATGATGATAGTAATGATGATGGGATCGGTAAAGATTTCAGTAAGAGAGATCAAAGATTTTAGTGTTTAATCTCACATTAAATGCGCAGTTTTAACTCTTTCTAAATTAATAGTCAAGGCAATAATTTCAAGTGTCTGTATACGTTAATGTGACGAAAAACGTTTTATAATATCTTATATTTTTTTTAAGAATTTTTCTATAACTTATATTATTTTTTACATTTTATTTTTATAAAAATTTTGCAAAAATACTTTATAAAAAATATTTTTCTTTAGAAAAATACCCTGAATTCCTTTAAAATTAAATTTTTATAAGTTTTCTTCGAAAATTATAAAGTGAGAAATCTTAGAATATATTTCAGAATTCACGTATACAATATATATATATAGAAAGGATGTAAACTCATAATTTCTGAAAAGTATTGAAAATTTGTGTTGCATTTGTATATAAAATCTGAGAAATTTTTTAAAACATTATGAAATTATACAAGAATTCGGAAAAATTCTAAAGTTTATATACAGGGTGTCCCAGAATTGGCGCATTCGGAGTACAGGACGTTATACTTTGTGCTAAAAGGAACAACTTTTTCCTTTAGCAAATTTTGATCTGACAAGTAATTTTGGCAGGAGAGCTGGTTAAAGTTAACGAATAATCGCTCTTATCCATGCGGCA